TGAATGCTTTTTCAGCGTCTATTGATATGATCATGTGGTTTTTATTCTTCATTCTGTTTGTGTGGTGTATCACATTTATTGATTTGCGCATATTGTACCAGCCTTGCATCACTGGAATGCATCCCACTTGGTCATGGTGAATAATTTTTTTGATGTATTGCTGGATCTGAATTGCTAGTATTTTGTTCAGGATTTTGGCGTCTATGTTCATCCGGGATATTGGCCTGTAATTTTCTTTCTTTGTAGTGTCTTATTCTAGTGTTGGAAATAGAATTATGATGGCCTCATAGAACGAGTTTGTAAGTCTGTCTTCTTGAATTTTTCAAATAGTTTGAGGAGAATGAGTGTTAGTTCTTTTTTGAATGTTCGGTAAAACTCCCCTGTAAAGCCATCTAGGTCTGGGCTTTTGTTTGCTGGGAGAGTCTTGATTACGTCTTCAATTTCCTTAGTTGTTATTGGTCTGTTAAAGTTCTCTTCCCAGTCCAGTTTTGGGAGACTGTGTGTTTCTAGAAATTTGTCCATTTCACTTAGATTGTCAAATTTGTTGCCATATAGTTGTTCATAGTAGCTGTTAATGATCTTTTGTATTTGTGGTGTCGGTTGTTACTTCTCCTCTTAATTTCTGATTTTGTGTATTTGGGTTCTCTCTCTTTATTTCTTGCTGAGTCTAGCTAAGGGTCCATCAATCTTGTTAATCTTTTCAAAAAACCAGCTCTTTGTTTCATTGATCCTTTGAATTGTTTTCTTGGTCTCTATGTCATTTATTTCTGCTCTGGTCTTTCCTATCTCCTTCCTTCTACTTGCTCTGGGATTTTCTTTTCGTTTGCTTTCTAATTCTTTAAGTTGTGAGGTTAGACAGTCAATTAGAAATGTTTCTTGAGGAAAGCCTGCAGTGCTATGAACTTCCCTCTCAGAACTGCTTTTGCTGCATCCTATAGATTTTGTGTTGTTGTGTGTTCATTTTCATTGGTTTTCAGGAAGTTTTTAATTTCTTCTTTGATCTCCTTGGTAACCCATTCATTGTTTAATAACATGCTATTTAGCCTCCATGTGTTCAAATGTCTTTGCATGTTCTTTTTGCAATTGATTTCTAGTTTCATGCCATTGTGATCTGAGAAGATGCTTGATATGATTTCAATCTTCTTGAACTTGTAGAGATTTAGTTTGTGTCCTATCATGTGGTCTATCTTTGAGAATGTCCCATGTGTACTTGAGAAGAATGTGTATTCTGTAGTTTTGGTGTGTAATTCTCTGTAGATATCTATTAAATCCATTTGGTCTAGTGCTTCATTTAGAGTCTCTGTTTCCTTGCTAATTTTTTTTGTCTAGAGGATCTATTCAGTGCTGTCAACAGGGTGTTAAAGTCCCCTGCTATGATTGTATTGCTGTCGATTTCTCCTTGGAAGTCCTCCAGAAGATTTTTAATATATTTTGGTGCTCCTATATTGGATGCATATATGTTTATCAAGGTTATATCTTCCTGTTGAATAAATCCTTTCATTATTATGTAGTGGCCTTCTTTGTCTCTAGTTATGACCTTCATTTTGAAATCTATTTTATCAGATATGAGTATTGCTACCCCAGCTTTTTTTGCTTTCCCTTTGCTTGGAAAATTTTTTTCCATCCCTTTACTTTCAACCTATGTGAGTCTTTTGTTGTGAGGTGGGTCTCTTGTAAACAGCATATAGATGAGTCATGCTTTCTTATGCAATCAGCTACTCTGTGTCTTTTTATGGGGGCATTTAGTCCATTTACATTTAAGGTGATTATTGATATGTATTTGTTTATTGCCATTTTTGTTTAGTGTGGTTATATTTTTCTTCCTATTTCTTCTACTAATTACAGTAGTCCTTTTAACATTTCTTGCAGTGCTGGTTTGGTGCTAATGTATTCCCTTGGCCTTTTTTTTTTTTTTTTTGTCTGGGAAGCTCATTTGACCTTCTATTTTGAATGATAGCCTTGCTGGGTAGAGTAGTCTTGGATTCAGATCCTTGTTTTTCATGACCTTGATTACTTCATGCCATTCCTTTCTGGCCTGTAGTGTTTCATGTGAGAAGTCAGCTGAGAGCCTTCTGGGGTTTCCTTTGTAGATAACCTGGTGCTTATCTCTTGCTGCTTTAAGGATTCTCTCTTTGTCTTTAATTTTTGGCATTTTAATTACTATGTGTCTTGGTTTGGGCCTGTTTGGGTTCTTCATACTTGGGACTCTCTGTGCTTCTTGAACTTGAATGCCTTCTTCCTTCACCAAATTAGGGAAGTTTTCTGTCACTATTTTTTTAAATATATTCTCTATCCCTTGCTCATTTTCTTCTTCTTCGGGGACTCCTATGATGCGAATATTGTTATGTTTCCAGTTGTCCCACAGGTCTCTTAAACTGTCTTCCTGCTTTTTAATTGTTTTTTTCCTTTTGGTTTTCTGATTGGTTGATTTTTTCTACCCTGTCTTCTAATTCACTGATCCAGTCCTCAGCTTCCTCTACTCTGCTTTTTAGACCTTCCAATGTGTTTTTCATTTCTGATATGTCATTTTTTATCTCTTCTTGGTGGTTCTTAATTTCCAATTGGCTTATTTTCAGCGTCTCTATGTCCTTATTCATGCTGTTGAGCTTCCTCAAGATCATGGCTCTGAATTCTAGCTCTGTTAACATGCCTAACTGCTCCACATTGATCTCATCTTCAGTGGAGGTCTCTTGCTCTTTCATTTGGCTTCTGTTTCTGTGTTTCACCATTTTAGCTGTCACAGTGGGCTTTGGAGCCTGTCAAGTTTTCCCTGTGGGTGTTGGTGTTCTGCTGTTTGTGGCTCCCTCTCCTGGGTTTAGTTGAGCGAGGGAGGACCCACATTAAAAACCACTGTCAAGTCTTACTTTCCTGGTTAAAGTTGCTAGCCCAGGAAAGGTACTGTCATCCTCTAGCTTTTTGCCTGGAGGCTATCAGTCGAGGTTACTTGATGAGTTTTGGGTTGTCAGTTGATTGAAAAACTCCCTCAGGTGCTCAGCATAAGGGGATTTCCCAAGGGTGGGGCAGATGCTGGTTGTTCATGAGCCTCAATTAGCACTTCAGTGGCCCACAGGGTGGGGTTGGATCTCTGAGAGAGGGGCTGCTGCCTCTCCTCAGAGCCCTGGGAAGGAGCAATATGGCTACCGTCCTGCGTGGCAGCAACTCAGAAAATGCTCTGAGCACCCTCCAAATCCCGAGTGTCCCCACACGGTTCCAGTCCAGTCTGCCCTCCCTCTGCCCGAGCCCAAGGTGAGTGGCTGTGGCTTTTTTAGCCTCATTCCCAGCTCTGCGCTGTGGAGCCGCTTCGGAGTGTAACCCGAGGGCGCTGCTCACAGCTAAGGCCGCTGCTGTCTGTGGGCTCCCAGCCCCCGTCTGGTGCCTTCGCAATCCTACCAGGATAGAGTCAGTATCCCTGGTTATATGGTCCTTGCAAGCTGCTTTTCTGTTGCTTTCTCCCATCAATTTGTCTGTTATAGTTGTAATTCCAGTTTGGTTCTGGGAGACAGTCTGTGTAGCTTCCGTTCACTCCACTGCCATTTTGGAATCTCTTTCTGGTGTGTTTTTAATCTGTAGATTCAAGGCTTCTTTAATTTCTGGAAAGTTGTCTTAAATTATATCTTTAAATACTCTTTCACTGTTTTTAAATTTTTTCTTGTTTTATTCTTTAGGCACTCCAGTTATTTGTAACTTTGCCCTTTTTTGATATGTATTCCTTCCTTCCTGATTCTAATCTTTTAAAATGTTTATGTCATTTTGCTCACCTTTTCCCTTCCTGCTGTTAACCTGAAAATAAAAGGCCAAAGCGAGAGAAAGCACACCTTTGGGACCAGCAAGAAGAGCTGCTGTGAGGCACCAGTTCAGGCCCGAGCCCGGGTTCTGGCGAGTGGACAAAGGCGGCGAGTGGACAAAGGCAGCGGGTGTTCAGGGGAAGCGGAAGAACAATTCCATCACAGAGGAAGGCTTTCCATGGGTGCCGACAGGCTAACAAAGTGACACTAATTCTAAACAATGTTTCTGATTTTCAGCTCAGTCGTCATCCTATCTGCATTCTTATTAGTCTTGTAAACAGTGCTTTGGGACACAGTGTTGCTTTCGGCCCAGTTCAAGGGTTACCTCGTCCTGTGTTAACATCCCAAAGGTTTGAGAAGACGTGCAGGGCAGCTCCTCTGGGACAGCTCCTCTGGGACAGCTTGGGCTCCACGTTCAAGTGGCCCCGTTTATAGTATTGTCTACATTGTCTGCTATGCCGTCTACTGTGCTGTTAGCTGTGCTGTTCTGGTTCCAACTCTGCTGTCACGTCTGACCTCTGTTTACTTCTTTTCCTCCATCTCTTTCTTGAGCTTTGCTGTTAAAGTCTTATCCTTTCTGTTGTCTCTCCACCTCATCTTTGGCTTCTGGTCTGCACGTCTGTCTGTGTTTGGAAATCCGAGGGAAATGCTTGGTTACATTTCCCCTGCTCAGTGCAGTTGTGTTTCTGCTGGTGTTTCCAGCTCCTTCTCCCCTTCAGAGCTTGGTTCCCTTGCACGTGGACCTCTGCTGGTCCCTTTTGGGTCACTCTCCTTTGAATGGGGTGAGCTTTGGGGATCACCAGGAGGGTTGTGGGAGTCATGCCATGTTCCGAGCTAGCAAACACCTGGTGAGGTTGCCGTCTTCATGTCTCACCACCAGTGGGTTTGGGTTCTACAGAGCTATTCACAGGACAGAGACTCTCTTTCCTCCTCACGGGAAGACTGTTTCCTGCAAATATGGCATGTCCTTTTCTCAGAACCAGGCTAGGCCAGGGACATTTCTGCTACCACTTCCCATTACTGTTGTAGTAAGAGTGGCCAGGAGAGGTAGGAAGGGAAGGGAAACGGACGATAGGAAGGAAGATGGAGGGGAGAATGCACCAGCTGCCTTGGGAGCTCTTGGTTGGAAGGGGCCGCCCCCAAGAAAGGTATGTCTTGAGCAGGAAGGGGGAGGTGGGACAGGGATCCAATGGCAGCTTTCTCTCTGCCCCCTAGGGTGACCACGTGTGGCTGAACCCCACCTTTGCCAACAAAACCAGCATCGCCATCGGGGGCGTCGTCAAAGAAACAAAGCCTGGCAAGACCCTGATTGAAGATGATGAGGGCAAGGTCAGTGTGGGCCGCTTTCCCAGAGGCTGGGCCCTCTCAGTGACCCCCCCCCCGAACTCTGAGCCCTCTCCTTCTCTGGCACTGCTCCCCAACACCAGGAGTTCCAAAGTCCACGTGAGGAGCTGTGTGCCAGGACAGAATGCTGCTGATCTGTCTTGAGAACCGTTTCTGTAGTGAAAAAGCGAGAGATGGTTTGGTGACGGACAGTTAGGGGAGCAGGAAGGAGTGAGGTGGGGCAGAGGCTGTGGCAGAGTGGGGTGGGGGCAGAACGCTGGTTTGCAAAGCAAAGGAGGGTGAGCTGGAAAGACAGGACATGGGACTCCCCAGGCAGCCCTCCGCTGCTCTCCGCAGCCTCCACAGCGAGGGACGTGTAGACGCTCGGCTTCCGGGGAGAGGATTCTAGACTCTGACCTGGGAATCCACACTAGGAAGCCAGTGGAATACTAACAATTACATCTCTATTTGCAAAATAATATTGTGCAGTTAAAAAGACACTTTTACACTTTTAAAAGGCATGCTTTTATTTCAACCACCTGTGAGGCTTCCAGCTGCAACCTGCCCTTGATCCCAATCACAGCCAAAGGTAGCTGCTGGCTACCAGCTCCTCTGACCCTGGCCTGAAATCCACCCCTGTCCCCCAGCTGGCTGCACTGACACCTGACCCTAGGCAGGTGCTGACTGCAGACAGACTGAGCTGATGCTGTCCCAGGTGTTCCTTGACCTTAACTTCAGATTGCCAGAGATGGGTCCCGAGGTCAGCTAATCTGCAGAGACTAGAGAGTACAGTGGGTGGTCCATGCAGAGGCAGCCCTGCATGGGATTCTGTGCCCTTCATTCCAGGAACACTGGGTCCAGACAGAGGACCTTGGCACCCTCAGCCCCATGCACCCCAACTTGGCTCAGGGTGTCGACGACATGATCCATCTGGGGGACCTGAATGAAGCAGGCATGGTGCACAACCTCCTGATCCGCTACCAGCAGCACAAGATCTACGTGAGTCCCCAGTCTATGCATGCCCCGCCCCCCAGCAGGCTCGGTGCATGCAGATTAGCCTCTGGCTAAGGACAAACACCAGATTCTGGGGTGGGGGTGCAGCCAGGCATGCCTGGTCCAACCCCACTCCCCATGCCCTCACTGCATGATGTGGACATGGTGCCCAACCTCTCTCCATCCCTGCTCCCTAATCTAAAAGTCAGTGATGATGTTTTGAGGGAACATGAAGCTGGCAGGTAGCATGCCAGCAAGTACTTGGTACACAGTAGGTGCTTTATTAATGCTGCCTCTTCCCTGCGCAGAAGGTCTGCTCCAAGGTCCAGGTGGATCAGAGGCCAGGGGGTCAGGCACAGTCCTCCCAGGGCCCCCTTCCCAGGCATGTGACAGAGACAGGGTCATAGGGTCCTCCTACCTCCTAGGAGTGAGTCCTGTAACAATCAGGAGGGCCACGCGGGTGGACGCCGGTCCTTGCCCCAGATCTGGCAGCAGGTGACAGGCTCGCCAGCCCTGTGGCTCCCACCCCTGCTCCAGGGCAGATTCTCCCAGGACCAGCAGCATCCCCAAATCGACACTGGCCTGCCTTCAGCGGGTGTGGCCTGGGGAAAGGACTGCATTCCGGGTGCTGTCGCAGGGGGCTGTGGCTCCATGCTCTCCTTCTAGGGTGCTCAGAAGAGGGAGAGAACGAGCAGTGGCCATGCACAGGAGAGGCTGAGAGGAGGAAAGGAGGTGGCCCTGCCGGGAGGGGCACAGGCTCCCTGAGCCGCCGCCCGGCCTGTGCAGAGCTCCTCCCCGGGGGCTGCTGCTGGCTGCCTTCTTCCATCTGCTGCCACAGTTCGCACAGCAGAAAGCCTATGCCGTCCATTCCTAAAGTAAAGACTGAGATCAGAGGTGGCTGCCCGTCCCACCCTCCAGGGGTGGCCACATGAGCACGTTTCCTGAACGGGGGCTCAGGAGGGCTCCCTGGGGGCTGACATCGTCGGCCAGACTCCCAGAGGCGCTGTGGGAGATCTGTGGACACTACTGCGTACATCCAGCCCAGCTGATTCCAAATACTCGATAGAATGATAAACATTAGCAATGAGCCCCGCACACTCCTTCCTGCAATGCGCCCCGCAGCGGAGTTCTCGCGCACTGCGACACCCTACCTTTGTAGAGGAAGGATCTGAGCAGCTCAGAGCCTTGTCTCCCGGCCAGAATCAGACCCCTGTCCCCACCCGTCTCCAAGGCCAAGGCAGAGGCCGGGCATCGCAGTGGAAGGCTGACCTCCTGTCCCTTCCCCAGACGTACACAGGCTCCATCCTGGTGGCCGTGAATCCGTTCCAGGTGCTGCCGCTCTACACGCGGGAGCAGGTGCAGCTATACTACAACCGCCACATGGGAGAGCTGCCTCCGCACGTCTTCGCTGTGGCCAACAACTGCTACTTCAACATGCAGAGGAACAAGAGGGACCAGTGCTGCATCATCAGGTGGGGGCGAACCCCATTCCTGGGGCAGGCGGGGGCCCCGCACCTCTGCTGAGCATCTTGTACTGGAGGGAACAGCTCCTCTCTCTAACACTCTCCCACAGACCAGCCTGATTTAGGGGCTCCCGCCCTCCCCAAAAGCACACGAGCACCCAGGAATCTGGCCCCTGCTGCCCCTGGACCCTTAAACGTCCTTCCAAGGCTTCCTTCCGTCAGAGCCTGGTCTTCCACTGGGTCACCAGGCTTTGACTGTCCCCAACTTCAGGGACTATTTCCTGAGACAAGGACGGATGGGAAGGTTCCTTTAGAAATGGAACCCAGCACAGGCATTTGGGGTGCCGTGGTCAAACAGGTGAGGTCTCATTCAAAAACGAGCGAACAACTCGGGAAGGCAGGCCTCATGAGGACAGGGCAGCAGCTGCTCCGGGGCAGCTCTCGGGTCAGGGAGCTCAGAGGGTGTGTCCCCAGTCCCGGAACTGGCCTCTGCTTCTGGCACAGGCCCCCTGCTCCAGGGAAGGAGGGTGGGAGGGCAGGAAGGAGGAGAAGAATCTGGCTCCAGGCACATTGCTTGGTGCCCTAGCAGTCATTCATTCATTCTCTCTTTTTATCATTCTCTCTTTTTATTGGACATTCTAATTTTTTTCTTTATTGATTTTTAGAGAGAGAGGAAGAGAGAGGGAGAGAGAAACATCGATGAGAGAGAACATCGATTGGCCGCCTCCTGCATGCTGCACACTGGGGATCAGGCCCACAACCTGGGCATGTGCCCTGACGGGAAATCACACTTGTGACCGCTCAACCCCTGAGCCACACGGCCAGGCTATTGGACGTTCTGATGTGCTCCAGTTGTGCGCTTCACACCACCCTGACATGGGGAGACAGCAACACACAGGAAAGGGGTGACACTTACTGCCTCGAGGACCTTACATCCTACGGAAGGCAGATAGGCAGACCACAGATAAGCAAGTTGCTCTAAGGAGCTTTGAAGAAAAGCTCTGCAGGGAATTAGGAGAGAGTGCTGGGCCCTGCTTTGCGGGGGAGGGGCAGACCCGGCACCACCTCTCTGAGGAGACGCAGGCACAGAACCCCAGGGGCAGTCCTACCACATAGGTTTCCATGCTGTCAGCAACCCTCTGAATAGACACTCTCACTCCTGTTCTACTGTTGGGGCAGCCTACATCCGGACAGGTGGAGACCCCTTGCTGGGGACACTTAGCTATCAAGTAAGGAATTCAAACCCAGGACTCTGGAAAAAAAGACAGAGGGTGGGGGAACTTCTCTGAATGAACGGGATTTCTGTGCCAGGAGCTCATGTTCTTGTCCCTGGAAAGGAGAAATGGCCCTGAGCTGGCCGCTGGTGTGTGGGTCCCTGTAGGGGATGTGTCACAGCTCAAGTCCAGGGGATTCGAGGGAACATTCACTAGAGCTGGGAATAGGGAAACAAGAAAGGGCTGAGAGCCTAGGCTGGGCTGGGCCAGCTCTCTGGGAAGTCTGAGAAAGGGGGCCTTGGGGACAGGGTCAGAGGGTTAGCTTGAGTTGAGCTGCCACTGCCCACTGCCCTCCTGGCTGCAAGTCTGGTGGGTCCTGTAGAGTCTGACCTGTCCTGTGGGGGAGGGAAAGGGGCGGCGGGCTGTGTCTGGAGGCTTATCTCTCTCTTGCAGGCGGGACTCTAGGGAGGTCTCAGCAGAATAGTCACCAGTTTTCTAGGTGTGCCCTCAGGGTCCTGGCCCCCTCTGCCGGTCAGGGCAGGGCAGGGGTCGGCAGTCATCGCAGCTGGCCCTGGTGTCGCCCCTGCTCTGCTGCTTTTCTGGGCCTGGAGCCGAAACACAGCTGAGGCCTCGATGTCACCTGCAGGGAGGGGACCTTCTGTGTCTGCTGGCATCGCTCTGTCAGTGTGCTCAGCTCTGCCTCCAGTTCCCTGTTCCACGTGTCCTGGCTCACGGGCCTGTCTCGTTCTGACCCCTCTCAGGCTTTGCCTGTCTGCGTAGTATGGTCCCAATCTGCCCCTTAGCCTGGGAGCAGACCTCCAGAGCTGGGCCCCAGGCTGGCTGAGGAGCTCAGAGGGCTGCTTCTCACCTCCAGGACGCAGTGCCTGAGAACAGGGCAGAGCACCTGGATCTTCCACCCTCTGCCGAACACATCACTCAGTCAAACTGCCTTCTCCTCAGCCTGCCCAGCCCCAGGCCCGTGCGACCAGCAGCTCTCTGCCGGCTGGTGTCTGCCGCTCAGTGGAAGCTCCCCAGCAGGCTGACTTCACTGGCACAGCAAGCGTGGACATTTTAACCAAAACTTCTTTTCAGATGAACATTTTCAGATGAAACAATATTTGGGATTTGCTTCAAAATAGTGCAGAGGGAAACAAAATTGGCCGGGAGTAGAAGCTGGAAATGGGACTGCGGGAGTTTGTTTTGCAAACTGTAAAGTTGCAAGAACCCCCTGGGGATCTGGAGGAGATGCAGATCCTGACCGAGAGCTGGTGGGGCCTGGGAGCCGGTCACCAGGTGACAGACAGACTGCCGGCCTGCGGGCCGCGCTTCCCTCAGTGAGGCATGGCCCTCTTCTGCCCGTTCCAGACATGTGACAATTTCCACAGTGAAGAATCATTTACACAAAAGTAACTTTTAAACTAATAGTAACAGTAACATTAATCATTACACATGTGAGTGTGTGCTGTGTGCCAGACACAGTGTCTTTTCTAACCTAAATAAATGTCCCTGGCAGGTTTGGCTTAGTGGTTAGAGCATTAGCCCGCAGACCAATGAGTTGTGGGTTCAATTCTGGCCAAGGGCATGTACCTCAGTTGAGATTCGTCCCCAACCCTGGTTGGGTTGTGTGGGACGCAACCACTCGATGTGTCCCTTTCACATCGATGTTTCTCTCTCTCTCTCCCTCCCACTCTATCTGAGCAAAAAAATGGAAAAAAATGTCCTCAGGTGAGGATAAAAATAAATGTCCTAAGTAGCTTTTAAAAACTAGTTTTCCTATTTCACCATCATGAAATTAATATATATTCATTATGAAAATTTTAGAAAATTTTATTAAAATGTTCTCAGAAAAACACTGCTGCTCATACCAACGTGTCGTGTAACAGTCACTCATGAGCACTGCCGTGTCGCTCAAGCTCAGGGCAGACACCCTGTCTACCCTGTGTTCATGGCTGCAGAACGGTCTCTGACTGATGGACCATAGCTCATTTCCCCGTTTCGGTGACTTCTGATCTTCCACAACTGCAATGATACATGATGCTCTAATGAGCAGAAATCCTTTTCTGATTTTAGGTTATTTCTGAGGCTAAGCGCAGGACGATTCTGAAGCGTCTGGTGCCTGTGCCAGGCTGCTTCCCGAAAGGCGGTCATGGTTCCTCTCCAGAGCATGTCACAGCCAGGCATCCTGTTGTCTGTCTTCTCCACGCATCTGCATCACTAAGCACTGAGCATCTCTGTTCAGACTGTCCCGGAAAGTGGCCTGGGGCGGGTTTGCAGAGAATTGAGAGGCGCTGAGCACTGCATGTTTTGTTGACTGATTCCCTGCACACTGTCTTCACAGCGGCGAGTCTGGGGCGGGGAAGACGGAGACCACCAAGCTCATCTTGCAGTTCCTGGCCACCGTCAGCGGCCAGCATTCCTGGATTGAGCAGCAGGTGCTGGAGGCCAACCCCATCCTGGAAGGTAAGCAGTCACCTCCAGCCCAGGCCTTCTCGTGGCTGGACCTTCTTTTGAGGAGGTGTCCCTGGGAAGAACAAGAGAGGCCACCCACTTTCAGCACTTCTCAAAATTCCTCAGGACATGAGAGAATGAGGCGGGTGGGAGTGTGGGGCCCCCCAAAAACATGAAGGGGAAGACTGATGACTGTATATGCTATTACTAGGTGTGTTTTCCACAGGATTAAAACAAGTATTCCTTTTAAAAGGGGCCCAAGATGCCCTGGCTGGTTTGGCTCAGCGGTTAGAGCATCCACCCGCGGACCAGAGAGTCCCGGGTTCGGTTCCTGCTAAGGGCACATACCTCGGTTGCAGTTTGTCCCCGGCCCTGGTTGGGGTTGTATGGGTGGCAGCCACTCGATGAATCTCTCTCACATCAATGTTTCTCTCTCTCTCTCTTCCTCTCTCTGTCCCTCTCACTCTATCTGAAGATGAATGTCACCCAAAATGGGTGAGGATAAAAAATAATAAAAATAATAATAATAATAAATAAATAAATAAATAAAAGGGGCCCAAGATGAAATCCACTTGGGAAACACTGGGTATGTCAGTTTGGGTCCTCGGGAAGCAGCTGCCCGCTGGGGTTAGGACTGCAGGGGATTTATTGAGGGTGGCCCTGTGGAAGATGAGGGGAGGAAGTAGGAATGGTGGGAAAAGCCTCTGGCCTGGATGCTGGCAGGACACCTCGAGAGGAAAGAGCTGAGCTGGGTGGGTGAGATTCACGCTGCAGTGCAGGCTGACATGGTCTGGGCCAACCCCGGGGTGCTCAGAGCCAATGCCAGGCAGAGCAATCCTGCGTGGCGCCCAGCGCCAGGCCCTCGCGCCCCCTTGCTCAGTCTCTGGTGGGAGTGGCCCAGAAGCGGTGACCTCAGCTGCAGGGCTCCAACCACTGGTCAGCATGTTCACTTTTTCTTTATCACCGAGGTGGTGTGATTTATTTGCAGTAAACATTCACAGTGTTTGATGCACAGTTTTATGAGTTTTGACAAAGTCATATAACCTCTATCATAATCATGATATAGAATGTTCCTACCCCCCCGCCACACACACACACACACACAAATTCCCTCTGGTTTGTTTGTAGTTAACTCTCTTCCCAGCCCCAGCCCCTGGGAAACCTATAGTTTTATCTTTTTCAGAGGGTCATACAAATATAATCCTACAGTTTGTAGCCTTTTGGGTCTGCTGACTTTCATTAACATAATGCATTTGGGACTTTTTCATGTTGTTGCCTGTATCAAGAAGCATTCCTTGTATTACACTGTACAGAGGTACCCCTGCTTGTTCACCAAGTGAACGACATCTGGGTTGTTTATAGTTCTTAGTGATTATGAATAAAACCTCTGCCCACAGAGGCGTGACAAGCAGCTCTCGCAGACACCAGAGAGGTGTTACTGGACAGCCCCCTAAATCAGAGGGCGCCACTGTCCCCAACCTCGATCCTTGTCTTCTCATATAAAATAACTTATATAAGAGACTCTAGATATTACTTGTGTTCTGGTTGGTGAATTTATTAAAACATTAACGCAAGTGAATTTATTAAAGCATTGAAGCATGCACATTGATTAATGAAACAGAGCAAGCAAACCTATATATCTGGCTTGTCAAGTGCAGAGGGGCCTCAGCTAATCTGAAGAGCAAGGGTGGTGGGCGGTGTCTATCTTATACCCTCCTGTCTATAAGTTTTTTTAAAAGTTCCCTTACTAAGATCATTATATTCCACAAATAAGTGAGATCATGTGATATTTGTCTTTCTCTGCCTGGCTTGTTTCGCTTAGCATAATACTCTCCAGGTCCCTCCACATCATCTCAAAGAATAAGAAGAGATCTTTCTTACCACTGCATAGTACTCCATTGTGTACATGTACCACAGCTTTTTTATCCACTCATCTACTGATGGACACTTGGGCTGTTTCCGGATCTTAGCTATTGTAAATAGTGCTGCTATGAACAAGGAGGTACATATATTCTTTCTGATTGGTGTGTCAGGCTTCTTAGGATATATTCCTAGAAGTGGAATCACTGGGTCAAATGGCAGTTCAGTTTTTACTGAGAATTCTTTTTTTTTTATATATTTTGTTCAGATAGAGTGGGAGAGAGAGAGAGAGAAACATCGATGTGAAAGGGACACATCAAGTGGTTGCCACCCTCACAACCCAACCAGGGCTGGGGACAAACTGCAACCGAGGTACATGCCCTTAGCGGGAACCGAACCTGGGTCTCTCTGGACCGCAGGCCGACGCTCTAACCGCTGAGCCAAACCGGCCAGGGCCGCAGTTCAATTTTTAATTTCTTGAGGTAAGACCATAGTGTTTTTCATAGTGGCTGCACCAGTCTGCATTCCCACCCGCAGTGTACTAGAGTCCCCTTTTCTCCACACCCTCGCCAACACTTGTTGCTTGATGATTTGTTGATGGTGGCCATTCTGACAGGTGTGAGGTGATACCTCATTGTTGTTTTAATTTGTATCTCTCTGATGATTAGTGATGTTGAACATTTTCTCATATGTCTCTTGGCCATTTGTAGGTCCTGTTTGGAGAGATGTCTTTTTAGTTCCTTGGCCCACTTTTTAATTGGATTCTTTGTCTTCCTTCTGTTGAGTTGTAAGAGCCCTCTATATATTTTGAAAATTAACCCCTTATTTGATGTATCATTGGCAATTATGGTCTCCCATATAGTGGGATCCCTTTCCATTTTGATGGTTGTTTCTTTTGCTAAACAAACTGATGAACAAAATAGACCCAGAGACATAGAAATGGGGTACAGACTGACAAACCTCAGAGGAGGGGATGGTGGTGCGGGATGAATGAGATGAACCACAGAACTTATATGCATGTATGCATAAACAATGGACATGGACAACAAAGTTGAGGATGGGGCAGGGGAGGGTATAGGGAGGTGGGTGTCAATGGGGGGAAAAGGAGAAACATCTGTATCAAAAATAAATTGATAAAAATAATTCTTTAAAAAATTCCTTTGCTAGATATCCTGGTACAGATTAACTCTAAAAGTCTCCCCTTGCCCGGCTGGTGTGGCTCAGTGCTTGAGCATCAACCCATGCACCAAGAGGTCAGGGCACATGCCCAGGTTGTGGGCCCAATCCCCAGTGGGGGGTATGCTGGAGGCAGCCAATCAATGTTCTCTCTCATCAATGTTTTACTTCTCTCTCCCTCCCCTTCCTCTCTCTCTAAAGTCAATAAAGAAAAAATAAACAATAAAAGTCTCCCCTTTTTTTTTGTTATAGCTTGTCCACAATATATGAAAGGTACTGGCATTGAGACCCTGACTCCTGGCTTTGTGGTTATTGTTTATACTCTTCTTCTCTCCTCTTCCCTCCAGTCCTAACAACTTCAGGATGATGTGTACTAAGGGGTCTCTGCTTCCTCCTCCTCCTCTCCCTTCTATTCCCCATCCTCTACTGCATGCTCTTGAGATAAGGAGAGGTGTTAACCTTGTTCCTGAGATGAGGCCCTACAACAAGCAGTCTGCAAAGCTTTTTAGCCTTGTCTCATTTCCTGCCTCAGTTTCCCAATCCTCTCGTTCCAAAATGTTCCTAGCTTTTCTGACCTGCAACAGGGCATACCGGTTTTTGTGTGAACACGTGTTTTTCTTTTAAATAAACAGGCAGGAGTGAGATGCCTGGATGATAAGTGAGCAATTTACCTTAGTCAGAAGATGCCCTGTGCCATCCTCACATTTGGTGCAGAGGGGTGGCTGTGTACACGCTGGTGTGAGTGCAGTGGTATCTCATCTCTCACCTCTCCTCGTGGATGGCTGTCTCTCACCTCCCCTCGTGGATGGCTGTCTCTCACCTCTCCTCGTGGATGGCTGTCTCTCACCTCTCCCTCGTGGATGGCTGTCTCTCACCTCCCCTCGTGGATGGCTGTCTCTCACCTCCCCCTCGTGGATGGCTGTCTCTCACCTCTCCTCGTGGATGGCTGTCTCTCACCTCCCCTCGTGGATGGCTGTCTCTCTCCCCTCCCTCGTGGCTGTCTCTGACCTCCCCTTGTGGATGGCTGTCTCTCACCTTCCTTCGTAGATGGCTGTCTCTCAACTCTCCTCGTGGATGTCTGTCTCTCACCTCTCCCTCATGGATGGCTGTCTCTCACCTCTCCTCGTGGATGGCTGTCTCTCACCTCTCCTCGTGGATGGCTGTCTCTCAACTCTCCTCGTGGATGGCTGTCTCACACCTCTCCCTCGTGGATGGCTGTCTCTCACCTCTCCCTCGTGGATGGCTGTCTCTCAACTCTCCTCGTGGATGGCTGTCTCTCAACTCTCCTCGTGGATGGCTGTCTCTCACCTCTTCCTCGTGGATGGCTGTCTCTCACCTCTCCCTCGTGGATGGCTGTCTCTCAACTCTCCCTTGTGGCTGTCTCTCACCTCCCTTCATGGATGGCTGTCTCTCACCTCTCCGTTGTGGCTGTCTCTCACCTCCCCTCGTGGATGGCTGTCTCTCAACTCTCCTCGTGGATGACTGTCTCTCACCTCCCCTCTTGGATGGCTGTCTCTCAAATCTCCTCGTGGATGGCTGTCTCTCATCTTGCCCTCATGGATGGCTGTCTCTCACTTCTCCCTCGTGGCTGTCTCTCAACTCTCCTCGTGGATGGCTGTCTCTCACTTCTCCCTCGTGGCTGTCTCTCACCTCCCCTCATGGATGGCTGTCTCTCACCTCTCCCTCGTGGCTTTCTCTAACCTCTTCTCATGGATGGCTGTCTGTCACCTCCCCTCATGTATGGCTGTCTCTCACCTCCCCTCGTGGATGACTGTCTCTCACCTCTCCATCGTGGCTGTCTCTCACCTCTCCCTCGTGGATGGCTGTCTTTTCACCTCTCCCTCGTGGCTGTCTCTCCCCTCCCCTCATGGCTTGCTGTCTCTTACCTCTCCTCATGGATGGCTGTCTCTCACCCTGTCTCTCACCTCTCCTCATGAATGGCTCTCTCACCTCTCCCTCGTGGCTGTCTCTCACCT